AGCCAGTATGGACGAGCTAGGGGGTAGTGGCCAGGTAGGCACCTTGTCAACATCCACATCAGGCGCATCCCCACCGGGAAGCTCAAGCAACATCTACTTCTGAAATGCAAGATTACTCATCACGCAGACAAACGTANNNCGGTGGCGATTGATAGTGCCATAAGCAGATGCTCCTGCGTCGTGGATGGCGGCCGAGTTCCTATCCCACGGAAACTCATTGTCATTGGGAGAAGGAAGCGAAAGCGGTACGCAGTGCGTCTTGATGGGCTTGTCTGACCGAGGACTGAGACAATTTTTCAGTTGCCGATCGAGGAGACGCTTGGTGTGCCTCCCACAAAGTTCATGAAGAAACGACAGCATACTAAGGCATGATCAGACTCGACACAGGTAGCCCAGTAGAAGAGGCAATCCAGGATGGAACCACGCCACCTGTAACTTATGGCTATGTGGTCAATTTGGGTCCATCGCTGGCCAGCTACAGGAGGACGTCAAGTGGCACTTTGGCGCCCACTGTGTCTAAAAGCAGTGCTACTACTGGTGCTCCGCACAAAGTTGCAGCAGAAGCTCACCGTTGTCAGTCCGTTCGGAGTTAAGCCCATAATTAACACCCAGCTGAGCTTCTAAAGAGCTCAGACGCCCTACTTGTGCGTTCATGTGATCTGCAAATACTATAATATCTGAAATGGTAGCACTGCATAGTAGCTTGTTCAGTTCGTGATCGAATGTGTCCTTGACAGCATTAGAACTGCAGTCGGTGGGAGCATAAACGGAAATCACTAACAAACAGCGTTTTGTACTACTTCGTGAATCAACCTTAGCTGATGTCGTCAAACGCGCTGCACATAAACGGCTGTTCACCGGAATCCAATCAACCAACGATGGCTCAGCCTTGGAGCTGAGAATGATACCTACACCAGCTTGACCCGTGAATGCTGTATCGGCGTCTCCGGATGCGTGCAACCAAAAACGAGAGGATAAGGCGGGCGCAGTTAATTCAATAACCCCGTTAGGGTCATTGATCCTAGTTTCGGACACACAACACACATCAATACCTAGTGTGTCCAAGGTGTGTGCGAGTGCAGTTTTTTGACCTACTTGACTTGGAGGGCGAACATTGAACGCCGCCACGGAAACGCGACAGCGTGGCCTTATAAGGGATTTTTGCCGATAGGCGTCCGATGGGTGTCGCGAGACGGTGGCTGCAGATGGCTCTACTCCAGTGACACTTCGGTTGCCGTCAATTAAGGTGGGAATTAAAGTAAGACGGTTAGTAATGGGGGTAGGGATTGGGGTAAGCGAAACAGGTGGAAAAGAAAGAACAGAGGCGCCAGCAGTGGCATGTTTTCGCTTATCCGCCCTGCTGTATGCAGCAGATAAGGCGACCCTTAATAAACTGCGCGATGACTGATGCAGGATGAAGTTTAGGTTCGAAGAAAAAGTCATGGTTGAATGTGGGCTGAGGTACTTCCAGAACACCCAGACCTCGACAGGAGGACGATTAGGGTCCTCATCCAAAGCATGTGAAACAAAAGCCTGTCCGCAAGGCAGCGAGAAGGTGACAGTTACTTGGTTTTACAGAAATGGACGCCATCCTATTTCAAACTTCCAACCTGGAAGACCAGGAGACTGAGTTTGTCTGACGTCTCACCACTGACCAACCTGGTAGGAGTAGCTATCAAATAGACCGGAGGCACCACCCAGCTCAATGATTCAAAGATGTACGCAAGCCATCTCACTACGTTAAGGTCCAGTCACGTTGCGGCGGTTTCTCGCCGATAGCTAGTGCTGAATCACTACTACTCTACGTTCTGTTGTTCGGTGATATAGGTTGTCGACATAGTTGGATCGCTCAAGTGTCCTGTCCTCTGACCTTCACTTGGATCCTTAAGACTGTCGAAATTGTGGTTACCTCGTAAAGGACTGCTGTCATATGCGTACTATTTGTGAGGCTACACCCTACTGCAAAATCTTCAACCGGATTTCGGCCCTCCCCATGACCACTTTCGGACACGTAGGTCTCTCGGTCAAATTAATCTGCTGGCCAGTAGTGCCAGTGCCGCCTATCCTGCGAAGACATTTATCCTGAGTCAAGAGTGCCAAAGGGGTTAGCAACGGGGCTGATCATGCAGCAACAATAGACAGCGCGCGCTCCAGTCCTATCAAGTACAAGCTCCAGTTACCCACCTCCATATGTTGCCCACTTTTCATAGCTTGAATGGTCACTATGTAAACTATGGAACTAGACCTGTGTATGTTGACCTGCTCTGTAAATTAAGTGTTGAGCACTTGAGCTATGACAGTCATTAACAATCCAACCCCCATAAGGTGACCATTCGAGGGCTTACTGCCCAGTGATTCTGAAATGGCTCATCTGATCCGATAACACGGTGTGCAGCGAGACAGCAATGTGTGGACTTCTGACACCCAACTCAGTGAACCTTGCGTTTGAGGACACAGGATGTTCTTTGTATGTATGTGTATGCGAGTGTTTGTCCCGACCGTCCGCGTTTACGCGCACCTGGATCAGTGTCTCTCAACATTTTTCAGTTTGTTACCCACAAATCGGGATCACTATAAACAATTGCCTTCTAATTAATTTAAAAAGCACCTTTTGCTTTCAGGTAAGGAATATGAATGCTATTTCTAATTTTTTTTAGATCGTCCAATTTTTATATAAACAAAAGGGTGTATGTTGATGAGATAGTTGCTATTGCTTAGTTCTAACAACTTCTACTATATTTAGTGCACTTTCGGCTAATGCACATAGTAGGTTGTGCTCCAAGTTCATTCGGTTCCTTGCTTTGGTGTGTGATTCCTGATCAAACTTGCAGATATCAGTGGCTTCGCATTTGTTTCGACTATCCCTTCCAACTCTGCCCTGGATGACAGCTTCCCACCACCACTCTGTATCAATACGTTCTGAACACATCCTCAGTTTCGTCCCTTCTACCTAGCAAAGATTCAGTCGCTTCTTCAGCTTAATGTTCATTCAACCTTGTTATTTGACCCGGCGAACGACTGTCTGACTCAAAAGAACAATGACCGACAAGCGAGCTGGTAGAAGCGCCGTCTAGCTGCGCTGTTTTACAGGCTCTTATTCGTATTTCCGGTAATAAAATTTATTACGGTTAATTGTATAATTCACTGAACACTCACTAATGATTAATCACTGATGGCTAAGTACTAGTGATTATGTAGTTGCTTACACGTTCTGATACACACGATTTTATTATTAATTATGTTGCGCCACAGATTGATAACCCATTCCTCGTATATTTACCCCCCTTAAAATTACATATTACCCTTTTGGGCATAATTACCCCCACGTTGCGTGCCAATGACTTAGGTCGATGTGGGTCCCCACAGATCCGTGCTAACAGAATGACCTAGAACGATTTGTGTTCAACCTCCACACCTGTCCACATACACAGGCAACCCTTTGTCTACTCCTATGAACACGTGTCCACTCATCATACAAGCCGCAATCAGGAGTTTGACTGTCAAACCCTAGCTTAGACCTTAGATCCATCGTGTCTTGAACCATCTAGGATCGGTCATTGAGACGAATTCTGTATTATGGCCCAAAGAAAAGACCGGAGAGTTGACTTTGAAGGAAATGATTGGTCTGCTACATTTTCTGTGCAGAAGTAGCCAAAGAAAGACGCAAACACGATTACTTGGAGTGATACACCAAAAGAAGACGAAGCTAGATATCTTTTACTGCAACTGAAATCATTTGCTATGGAAGAGTCTTAAGGCATGCTGAGTAATGTAGCTCGTGCTGAGAGCACATTTTCAGTTACGTTTGTAAAAGGAGAAACAGACATAGTAACGTCTTCTTCAAATAATTACTTAACGCGAAATATACAAGACGTTTTGATTTATAATAAAACCCTTACGTGAGAACTCGTCGATTGTGTTTTTGTGTGTGTGTTTATGTGAAGACATATTTCATACTACACTACTGACAAACGGGAAGTAGGTTGCGTTAGGTTTTGGTAGAGAAACTCCGTATGTTGACCATCTCTCTGTTGACACTGATCCAGCCCCTTAGGTGGTCAACTTAAGGAGGTTCTACAATATATCTATATAAAGAATAAACGATTTATTGAATAGACATAGAGCCATGAGTCAGTCAGGTAATTGAAAACCAATGTCTGATCGATGTTCCCTGCAGTGTTAATGACCATCTTAAGTGAGATTATACAGTTCACACAATGAGTGCTCTAAACAAACAACAGGAGAGACCGTAAGTTGACCACTCAAAGGACTGGACCGGAATAGTCAACATACAGTGGTGGTCAGCACACAGAAGTGTGGATCCATAAGGCTTGCATGGTGAACGTCCAAACAATGAAAAACCGATCAACTTAGAGAGGCGGTCAACTTCGTAGGTTCTACTAGACAGTTTTCATTGTACGCCCCGGCGATTTGCGTCATGCAAGTAGACATCGCCACCAACAAATGCCATATCTAATTCCGGATTTCCTCTATTCGAAGACTGATTTCCAGCTGTTCAGCTCTGGCATCCTATACCTTGGGGAATCCAGGAAGCATGTCACACTGGTTATTGTATTTAAACAATACAGTCGAAAGGTGGGTATGTTCTACGCTGCAAGCGAGAAAGCGTTTTGGGCTATTGTTGCTATGGAAACATGAAGAGACTGGGGAAATGGAGTCGTACCCCAGCGTCTTGGTAGGGAGATGCAGTGTATCGGATTGAATATAGTTAAAGGCCGAAAACCCACATTTTGGGCGATATTAGTTGTATGCAAACCACAGGGTTCTGCTCAAAGAAGTCAATAGTATAGCGGAATATTAGGATAAGGTGAGGACTCTCTACCTTAATATTGCACGTCGTGTAACAAAAGCTTTCACCCTGGAAATGCGGGACTTAAGCGGCCACCCACGTACATCTCAAGCACTTCCGTGAACACACTTGGTGAATTAGTCCTTGCAATAAATAATTGATTCGGAAATGCTTGGGTAAAGTTACGGCACTAACCTTTGTTTGCAGGAGATTGAGGTCGTCTGCTTGAATCAACTGTTGATGGGGAAGGTACCGAATCCAACTTGGTTTCAAAAGTCGTTTCACCCAGTTCCGAGGTCCGGTCGACTGGGGCCATGATGGCCATGAGAAAAAAAAGATGAGGCAAGGGAGATGCAATGCGGAAGGGAAACCCGAGATTCACGATACATTTTCGAGTGACGGGATAACACTAAGTAAGTTAGTGGTAGATAACTTGGCGTACATACCAACACCCATGCCTGATGAGTGCAAACAGCAACGAATCCGGTCGTGGAGTGCAGTGTAGCGAAGGTGGGGTTAACATCCAACATTTACCCGCTTCAGAGGCCCCTAGAAACAGTGGCTACCTGAGTAGAAGAAATATTTCGTCCGAAACTGAAGTCCGGTGAGCTTTATCTTTCTCTATTTGTTTGTGAACACACAGAACGATGAAAATATGGCCAGATGATACAAGTAAACTGGAAAGCCCAGAAACAAAGGAACTATTCGCTATTGATGGTTACCCGGAGCCACTGATTAGTTTTTAAAAAAGCGAACTGACAACATAACGGTTAAAGAAGGGAAACATGCTTGTCCGGCATTGCCTTTTACAGGCGACAACACTGGAACACACATTGGCGGAAGGTTAATGGGTGCAAGTAGTAGGAGGTATTTCGCCGCGCAGAAACGGATTTGCTTCACTTCCACACCAGTGCTACTTCATCATCTGTGGATGACACCTCAGTTTAAGCATACTCATTCGCCTGTTCATCTAAGACAAGCTGCAGGGGCCGCGCCAAAAAAACATTTAGATGAGCGCATCCGAGAACATTACTTAGCATGACTCAACCATGGATTGGAATAACCCCTCATCACTGATAGTCGCTTAGTTGCTGTAACTTATCCAGTTATCATCTCAAACGTTCTCCTCCCGACCTACCGCGTGAGGGCAGTCTACCCCCAAACGGCTACAATGCAGCATACACACAGTAGCAGAAATGATCTCGATTCGTCACAACTACTCTTCATCTGAGTAAGCAAAGACGATTCCTGAGGACTATGGCCGCCGTGACCATCTGCCATCCGCGCAGCTTCTTGTGCGGCGACCACGACCACGCGAACATATCACAACAAGAGTATCATTTGTAATCTTTACCACCCGTCATGGCGTTTGCCCCGCTCCCGTTAGTTATGTAAATGAAATCTCCCAAAACCAATCGGAGTTTTTCTACCTCAAGAGCATGATGTCAACAGACTAGCAGATGATCTGTGAGCCCACCACCTGTATATCAAAAGTGTTTGCTGCTTTTGTCGAGCTAGAGCATCGGGTATGAAAGAATCATTAGCTGACCGTTGCGACCAATCTGGAGGTAAACAATTCACTGGTGCTCTGGGCTCTCCTTTACGAAAGCGAGACGTTGATGCCGAATAATAAATACATCAGCTACCTGGATCGATCCTTAATGCCTGTACCGGATTTGGTGAATTCGATAACGTGACAGAATATTTTACACCGAGATGATCCAAAGGAGCGACAAACACGGAGTGGATTGCATGCCGATGCTGCGACACGTGAGATGGCTCAGACATGTCTACCGTATGGATTCCATTAGAATACCGAAACACCTGCTATGTGGCCAACTTAGTATTGGTGAGCGACATGTAGCCAAACTGAAGCTACGGTACCAGGATCATGATCAAGGTGAGTTTATCCCGAACTACTACTGACTTTGGGTTCTGGGAAGCAATGACAGTGAATTGGCGTCATTACTTTGATCACGTATAGAAGACTATTGTAAAGGCGTATCAGAAGTCACTTTTTCATTGTGATGTAAAACATTAGCTACGCGAGTGTCAGGTGATGGTGGTGTAGCCCAACCCGTCGGCCTCGTGTTCTTGATGCCATGACACACGTGGCCGTATGTGCTTCGGCCGAGGTGGCCTGGTAAGCCACCAAATTGGACACGAGGAGCTTACACTGAAGAGGTGATGGGTAAGTGCATCACTCCAGGTTCCGTTCACTAACCAAATCGACAATGCGGAAGATGTGGTACATAGGTTACATCATCGCTGCCGTTGGACTATACCTGTAGCTGTGAGGTCATGTTGTAGTGTGTTTGACACTTTAGCTGCTCAGTTGTTTCCCGAGCGTGGCAATTTGGTTGCAAACATTTCGTCACCAATCGAGATGGCATAATCAGTCTAGGGTTGGATGTAGCTTGGTCGAGAAATCTTCTACCAATCAAATCCAGGAGTGGATGATCCATGCCTGGATGATCCATTGCTGCGTTTGACACTCTTTGACAGTTGATATCCTGGGCCCGGCTGCATTTGATTTGAATGATTACATGGTGCCCATCGTTCGTACAATGTCATCTCGAACACTGACTCAAGGAGACCACTAATCGTCATTGGTGGAGACGGGGTACATGATCTTCTTGACAGTTCGAGGCTCAGAGAGTGGCTCCACAGAAGTTGAAACGGGCTACGGCTCACCCACCGTCCTATGTAAGTTTACTATGCATCTTTTCCTGTTTCATAATAATGATGTGCATGTTGAAGGACTGTAGGAATGATCCGAATCAATCGTAAGTCTCATCCACATGATTTCCAGTTTAATTTCTTCCGGGTTACACTGGTTATGAGGTGTGCGGATGGGGTTGTGGATGATGCAGCGCAAGCTATCCATGACCCATCAGTAGGCGTAGGTGTCCTATGGCTCTGTGACAAGCACATTGGGAAGCAGATGCCGCCACCAATACATACGGGTAGCATTTAGCCTTATGGTGAGTCGCCAAAACGGACTTGTCTGTTACACTGACTTTCATGAATATCATGGGAATGAGATGCTATCTGGGACTCAGACAGGACGGCGACATAGGCCAATAAGCATGCTACCAGAATGGGCGCCTCGATCGTTAAATGTTGCTACCCACTGATTCACACTGGTCACGCAATATCACGCTAACCTTATGCCGGTTCACCTGAGTTAGGACTTAAACATCGACCGGTAAACATCCTGACCGCTTCTGATAGCGTTTTAGGGAGAAGCATTGCAACTAGTTTCTACCACACAGTTGCTACGTGTCAAGGAAGCAGTGGACGGCAGATTCGCCTATCGAGACTCCTTAAACATTGTACATCCACCTCAGATCCTACGGGGTTTGAACAGGAAGCTATTCTTTTACGCGCTTTCGACGTCGTGTATTTGGTGCAGGAAGAGCTAGTGAACCGCTCAGCACCATGATATTGCGTACCAGGCTCCGATGGCTAGGCCACGTGTTGCGCATGCCGGCCCACCGACTCCCGCGATGTGCGCTGTTTACGCGCTCGGCGTCTGGATGGAAGAAGAGGATCGGTGGCGCAGCGATGACTCAGTCAAGAGGAATGAAATCTCTCACTTCGAAGTTGGCGTCGGTTGGTGTGTCCCGACTGTCAAACTGGTGTCCGAAGGATGACGAACACGCTTGGTTGGATATACTAGTTGAGATGGAAAGCAGCCGACCTCAATGGCGTTTGTGCTGTGAGTTTCTTTGTCCCTCGCCATCCCACTCGTCTTCCCCCCTACAACCTCGAACTCCCTCTTGATGCATAATATGTTACTAAGTAGTCCGTTGCCTGCAGTCTTAGCATTCGATAATTTTCAGCATTTTGCTTTTTCGTTTGTCTTATATTTATGTATTACGGCACAATACTTGAAGTGTGGTTCTCACCTTCAGCCTATCTGTAGTGATGATGATGATGATGATGATGATGTTCTTTTAAGATATAGTGACATAGCGCATGGGGCCACAGGCAACGGAAACACGCCGCTGGGATCAAGCAGCTGGCTGAGACCCATACTCCACTACCACGTACGCTATTATCATGTGGAGCACATGGTTGGACCTCCTAAAGCCATGATATCTATTGCTGAATCAGCAGTTTCTTTAAGCTAGTATGCGGCAACATAGGTGATTTCTTCTGGCAGCTCTTCCAATCCACGCATTCAAAAGAGTTATTCATTAACTTACGACAATCTTGCCACTATTCCACCAGCAACTATGCTAGTCTGCCCATTAAAAAAGTAGTTACTTCAAGAGGAAGCTATTCAGTGTACCCAAACAATGACTATGTAAAGTGAGAATTTGTGGCTCTAGTTACAGCTCCAAACACTCAACCATTCTAGTTGAGAAGTGCCGGCCTGTAGCCTTCAAGATCACAAGCCTGCCTTGTAAGATGAGGGCGCGGGTTCGAGCCTGAGAGTAATCGGGTGGCCATCGCAGTATCCTTAGCCCACGTGAGACCGGTAGTGATGGTGCTGCAGCGAAGCTTCAGTACTGCGTGCCAGCGTACTGCTGATGCCTTACCAATTCTTTTTCTGATAAGTACCCATTCATTTGCAGATAGAAGACCTACGTTAGAACACAGTTTGAGCGGTTCAAATTGCAGACGAAGTTACACAAGTATGTGTCTGCGGTGTAACAAATGATTGTGTCCTATTCCTTCATCTTTTACTCCGAGAATAGTGAGCGGAGCTGCCGCTATATTTGATTCGTCCCCTCAAAATACATGATATAATAGAGTACTTAGTTCGCTTTGTCATCCTCTGGCATTGCTGAACAAGAGACGCATTAAACCGTTGGAGTTAAATCGCTGTTTAAGTGCATTCTCGTCAGAAGCCAGTAAACATGCAACAGAATCACGGTGTTGGTATAATTTGTTACAAGGGGACGTACTCGAAGTAACTGCTGCTTCGCTCAGTTTTCGGACGATACTATAGCTAGCATTAGACCACTGAGCTCTCGAGGGCAAAACACCTGGTGATTGCTTTGCTTCGGCTTCAAAGGGAGGAGATGGACTTGGTTGTCGGTTCGTAGTAAAGGAAGAATCTGTGGACTGTACTCTGGAACCCGACGTAGTAGTAGGTTGAGGTTCACCATCCCGTTTAGGAGAGCTCACTTCGATGGGCACTTCAGAAGCGTTCGTGATGACCGGTTGCTTCCAATGCGGCACTGGTTCTACCGATTTGAAATTAAGACGGCGGAGAATGTGTCTCTTCGTTAGCCTCACTGCGGTACTGAAAATATAAAAGAGGAGGGAAGAATTTAAGCAAAGCCGTTAGTTAGACCAGTCAGAACTCCAGAGATAATGAGTACTCTAGGACATTAATCCGGAAGCAGGTAATCGAACTTGAACAGAGGCCGTCCAGTCTCATTGTTAACAAAAACGAGCCCTTTGTACATACAACACTTAAGGAGGATTGAAGTGTGGACAATTAATTCTGATTCTACATAGAAACATTTGTAAAGGGACAGTTTGCAGTCAGCTTGCGAGTGGTATGCCGTAACAAACATTAATTTACCGCGATGTAAAGTAACAGACTGTGCGCACCAATTCTTTCAATATCTGTTTATCGGCCCCTGTATCTTGTGTTGTACGATATTAGGGTTGCACAATGACGCTGCTACCTCCAAGGGCCTGGGAGCATATTCTGATGAGGTTCCACAAAGAGGAGGTAGTTTTCTAATACCTACACAACGTTAAGGGAAAGTGGTATGCTTAGTGAACAGCTCACTGCTGAACTGTGACTATTCTTGGCAGACAAGTTGGAAGAAAATTGAATGTTGATGAGGGACGGACAACGTGCCTAAGTCATTTTCTCTCGGGTAGCAAAGAGAAGGATGCACTACAAAAGAGCTTTCTACAAAACGATGATTGTAAGGCAGTAGTTTAGGACAAAAGCAACTGAAATTCATTACGATTCTATACGAAATCCCAAATAACAAGCTGAACATTACGCTCAGCGACAGGATAATTTGCTTTTTGGAAGTTTGAGGCAAATATAAACGGGTAACGATTTGAGATATAGACTTCGCGAGCTTCCAGCATTAAGGCTCCCCACCTCGAGTATATGGACAGCCGTTGTGGCTATGGTTAAGGAACCACTTGACCAGGCCTCTCTCGTGTGGTTCTGGACGATGGGGCCACGCAATCTATCACATGATCCGTAACGCGTCAAATAAAACTAGAGAGCAGGAAATCCTGACCAAACTACACACACTCCTGCTACCGGATCGCGATAATGCACACTGGTGCCCCGGACCACTGTGCCCGGCAACCGCGCCTCTATAAGAGGCAGCAAGGCGTTTGAAAGTCTTGCGCCCTCACGCAGCCACCCAACCCCTAGTAATGCACGGTCGCATGGAATTCGGTCCATTGAAGTAAACCACAAACGTCGGATCAGGTTAGCATGACTTGCAAACAATTCGATCGGACAGGCGTGGGCCAGATTTCTTATCAAAGCTGCAGCTCGGCTATTGGATCACAGTTAAATTGCCCCATGATGGATTCGCAATGTATCTGGACTGAACGCTCTGGGCGAGCCTGCGAAACGGGCACAAATTTGTATACGAAAATATGGCGGCGTCATAAGAAAGTAGGTCAGACAGTCTGGCATACAGTCCCTGCTCACTAATACTGATGATGTAATCCCCGAACTCACCACTAAGACGGCGACTGCGGCAGATGGGAAGTAGAGGCCTAGTCGGTTGCATGAGAATGGGGTGTACGGGGGATGCCGACATGCTGTTTACGTCAGTTAATGCAGTTGTAGCTACAATTTTGTTATGTCCAAACATCGCCGCCTCACAGGTGTTATCACTCTGCACAAGCACTGTTGTTTGTCCAAACCTCAAAGGGATAACCGAGACAGAAAAGTAAATGAAGCGGTGGTAACGAATTCACCCCACAGCATATTATTTCTAGGATTAACGAACCAAGACGACGGTAAGGATAATATTGGCTTAAACATGACAGTGAAGAAAAAAGAAAGGGATAGATGAAATAAGTGACGGAATCAGGAAGGAAAATTTAGCAACAGGTACACCAAATTCGCACCAAGGTTCCCAATTATAGCGGCATGGATCGGTCGATATAAGACCAGATTCGGCCACAGAAAATGCGGGCAGGCAAATAAACTCAGCGAGATATACGTTTATTGACGAAGCGTACAAGCTCATTAGCTATGGGGCACCGGAGAAGTGACTAGCTAGGGAAGATTACTGAAAGTAGTCAGACGTTGCAAGTCGCTTTCTAGACCGGTGCCTGTCATATCACCAATAGCGTACTGTCTGCTTGACTCAAACAAACGTGGTCCAAGTTTGTTTGAGTCAAGCAGACAGGCCAAGCACCTAACTAGCCTGGATACATTGTGAAGCTATACATTTGTATCACATTACACAACCTACCGCAATCAAACGGGGGATATCTCCAAGTTACTCAAAGCCGATGCACAGAGCCAAGATGACGCTTAGGACACGACAGGGATGTCCGACTTCGAACATGGTCTAAAACGAAGTCATGAGTAGAACAAACCCCAGCGAGCTATAGGTGAACAGCATTTGCAGCTGTTGAAAAAAGGTGCGAAATGGGATATTATGTTTTGGATGTGACAACTAGTTTTACGTCTGACGCGTCCACCTGATAGCAAAGGACGTGCAAGAGCTAAACAAAAAATAACTTACCTTCGGTTCGGCACTAATTGTACGGTTGTCTCACTTGTTGGGTGCATAACTGTTAGGGTGGATGATCGAAGAGTATAAACTTGGTAACATTCTCAATTCGGTATCAGCCACAGCCGGGCTTAGGGAACTAGAATCCACGCATGAACATAGTGGACAGGTCTGAACTAAGGGTAACACTGTGAAGCTAAGTACACGGTCAACTCCAATCCGAAACTAAACCTAGTTCCATCTACACTGACGTCTCCCATCCTGATGGTAAATATGTGGCGTATGCTATACTGGCGCACCGGAACATGCCCCTGTGTTTGCGTAGGAGTGTCTAAATACGCGACCAGGCGTGTCCGTCCTAGGTAAACACCGACCTAGTAGGGAAGTATGAGCACGGCTACTCCTGGTGTTCATAAAAGACTTCACTAAACAGGCGACTTCAAAGCTTCCACCCTTCGCTGGAACGCTCTCATATCAGTGTTTGCTGCCGGTCCTTTCGCCAGCAGAGCGGAAAAGTTTGGCCCGCCGCAGTCTGAAGCTAACTGGCTAACTAAGGAGACCCATACGTTTAGAGCGTTTCCCCTTAAAATCTACGAATGAAAATGAGTTGGCTCTAAGTCCGTCAGAAAGCGTACCATTTGCGCAGATAATGGGTGCATTTTCAACAGATCGCAATGAGGCTGGACCTTACCGTGGTGCGATGGTTTGCGTGCTTCACAGATCCACTGAGCTATGCAGGGTGCTGTTTTCTTGCACATTCAAAGTCACCCACACCAGATTCGTCAATGGTTAGAGGCCAGAAAAACTCAGCCTCCTAGTCCTCTAGGTTGAGGGTTGGAATGAGGGTGGATCCTTATTCTTTAAAATTGACTCCTAACAGTCCAGTGTCAAATTAGTCACACTGCAATAAGTTACCGACAGAGAAGCTGCATCCAGAACTGTCGCTCGATTTGGAGCACAGGTGTTGACACCGATCATGCACTTGTATATACTGACCTGCGGATGCGTTTTGGAGGATGCCAACGACAACACCGTGAGCGCATGGACACCAGCAAACTGACGAAGCCAGTTGTTCTGAATGCCTATCAAAATACGCTGACATGCGAGTTGAGTAAGCGCTCACTGGAGAAAATTGAAGTTCACCGGTCTCATGTTCACCAGACCTTATTAGCAGCAGGCAAATCCTCATGTGGTAAGTCTAATCGCTAACATGGACATTGGGTCTCTTCGGAGTCTCTGGAACTGATTGATGCTCTTCGGCATATTCTGGCTGGAAGCGAACACAATGAAACTCGTAAACAGCTCCGAGCAAAATCCCGTGCTAGCCTGGAGAGAGACCGTGAATCCTGGTGGTCTCATCGTGCATCAGAATTGAAAATGGACGCTGTCCTTGGTAACCATCGAAAATTAATCCGTCTGATACGAGAAACGGGCAGCAGGAGACCTGGTGTTAGTGAAACTATACGTGACGAGAGTGGACAGCCCATCCACAGCTTGTCAAAACGCTTGGAGCGTTGAGATAAGCTCTTTGAAAGGCAATTTAATCGGTCGGAATTGTCAGATCTCTCGCCGGCCACTGATCGCCCCGCTCCTTGGGCTGTTCCTTTGGATCCGCTCTCTCGCTCAGAATTCGAACGTGAGATCGGCAAATTAAAGTTAAATAAAGCCGCGGGACCAGACGATCATCCTCCATCCCTACTCAAATTCGGGGGACTTACTCTTGTGCATGATTTACACGAGTTACTAGTGAAACCGTGGGAGCAGAAAACTGTCCCAAGCGACTGGAGCCGCTCCGTCACAGACTCAAGTTTCAAGGAAGGCTCACGCTTGGAATGCGGAAACCATAGAGGAATCAGTCTGAACTTCATCGCCTTCAAATTACTTGCCTCTGTCATCCTTCACAGAATGACACACTCGTGAAAATCGGATTCGTGAAGAGCGAGCCGGGCTTCATCGAGGTCGTGGCTCCATTAACCACATCTTCACTTTGAGTCAATTGTTGGAGCACTGTTACGTATATTGGTAGCCCACCGTTGTCGCGTGCCTCGATATCAAAGGTGTATTCCATTCGGTTGATCGACGTGCTCTTTGGGACTGTCTACTCAGGAAAGGTGTACCTGAGAAATATATAAATATTTTCCGAGCATTATATGCGCGTAGCTCGGGCAGAGTGAGAGTTACGGCAAGATGTCGTCGTCCTTCAATATCTCCAGCGGTGTGAGACAAGGATGCCCGCTGTCCCAGTTCCTTTTTAAGTTCGTTATTGACGAAGTCAAGGAAATCACGTTCACAGGACACGACTTAGAAGGTGTGTAGCTGCTTCCCGGTGACAGTTCATATATGAGCAAGCGGCTCTGGACGGGGTAGCATTGGCTCTCAGTCACTTCGGGCATTGCTTCGCACCCTCGAAGTGCAAAGCGTTCCTCCAACATTGGCCTGGACCGCCTCCTACGCTGACCCTTGTTGGGGATCAGCTAAAACTCGTTCAAAAATTCACCTACCTGGGAAGTTGTTTCAGCGCCCGTGGGATTGAAGGTGAGATCATGAACCGTATAGCAATAGCCCGAGGCGCTTCGCTAACCTAGGCCAATTATGGCGCCGGCGCGACATCGCTCTTGCCCTGAAGAGTGGAGTGTACAATGTGGCGATACGTTCGACCTTACTGTACAATTGTGAAACCTGGCCCCTTAGATTAGCAGAAATAAAGAGGTTAGTTACGTTCGGTCATCGGTGTCTTTGCAGTTTGGCTCACATCTGGTGGCAACACCGCGTGAGCATCGAGCGTGTTCGACACCTAGTTTACGGCACAGGAAAAGGAAAGGAACCGCTCAGCACTGTTATTTCACGCACTAGGCTCCGATGGCTCGGCCACGTGTTACGCATGCCAGCCTAACGACTCCGGCGACGTGCGTTGTTTGCGCACTGCGCGTGTGGATGGAAGAAGAGGAGGGGTGGCCAAGCGATGACTTTGTCGAGAACAGTGGAGGCCCTCACTTCAGAGCTGGCCTCGGTTGCAGTGTCTTGGCTCCCTGGTTCGGGTCTGATAGACAATAAACACGTTTGGTTGGATACACTTGCTGACATGGATAAAGCCGATTTTATGGCGTTCGTGCTGTGAGTTTCTTTGTCCCACTCCATCCCTCTAACCGCATCCTCCAGCTCGGATCGCACTACTTGGTCTAACAAATTTTGCTGAGTAAATTTTTTGCTGCTTAGTTGACGGCTGGTAGCTTACCGAAATGATGTCCATCCATTACCGGGAGCTAAGCTGGCTTGCAACTGTTGCAATTCCCCATGTTCTCTTATGCATTGAGGCACAGTAGCCGAGGTACTTCTCACCTCTAGATAACGTGTATAAGGATGATGGTGATGATGATGATGATGATGATGATGATGATGATGACGACGATGATGATGATGATGATGATGATGAGGATGATGAGGATGAGGAGGATGATGAAGATGATGATGATGATGACGATGATGATGATGATGATGATGATGAGGATGAGGAGGATGATGAAGATGATAATGATGATGATGATGATGATGATGATGATGATGATGATGATGATGATGATGATGATGCATTTTCCACCGTATAGTAGTCGCTAGAATCCGTGGGCTTTCAGCTGGGTTTTTCTGTTACGTACTATTAAGGTTGATCCCACCTTCGTTCATGTATATTGTTTGCCTGATGATCAATGTAGGTTTCGCGAGAGGGCTTTTTATTCTGATTTTGGGAATTGGCTGGTCCTTGATCCGAGTAGTTGCTTTAGCTCTCCGTACGGTCAGCAGAACCACAACCCGTAGTACTTTTGCTGACATGATACGTTGTGTTACTTCCTAAGGATCAGTACTGCGACTGCAACTACTCCTGGTTTTTATTAAAGGTTTAGCGGTCGGGGAAGGCCCCACAAGGCTTCAGCATTTTGCGGATGATCTCGAGGTTTTGCGCGACGTCAGGATAGTAAGCAAACCAACTTCATTGCGAAATGACTTCATCAGGGCTTGTGAGTAATGATCTCATAGCATGATCGAGTTAAACGCTGTCAACTACAAAATAATGCGCAAGCATCACCATAGAACCTGCGAATAGCGACTGGGAGAGCACGTACCGCAGCACGATTCCCATGAACATGATTTTATGGTTCATATGCCGAGCAAGCTCGGTCACGCAGAGCGGAGCGAAAAAACAGCGAGAAATGCGAGTCAACACTTGGAATCCTGCAGAGGAGGTTTGGCTGGTTACATTTTACAATCTTTTCGAAATTCCTCAACGCCTAGGTGAGGCCACAGGTGGAGTACGCCGTCCAGATCTGGAAACTCTGATAAAAACATGACCTCGCTGCTCTAAAACTGCGCAAGAAATGGTGCCTAAATATTTTAAGGGTTCACTCCATCCCGCTTACCAACTTGGACTGAAAGCCCTAGGAGTTTTCAGTGGACAATATTGTCATCTGTTAGGTGACCTTATATTGAGTTGTTCGATCCTCA